AAAATATCTTGGTATAGTTGGACTTAAAACTCTCCCCTCCCCCCACCCCAGGAAACCCAATTTTTCAAATCTAATAGGCATCGGGGAAAAATATATTCTTTTCAGCGTGTCTCTATCATACTTCACCCCCAAAACTCTATGATTTGTGAGAGCTGGCCTGTCATTCTATTCTTTTTGTGGCTGGCACTAATTAATAGTCCATTACCATGGTATTCCTCCAGCTGATGCCTTTTGATGTAACTTTTTCAAGTTTCATCTCATTGTAGTTACAACCTCACAACTTCTTACCCTACCAGTTTAATTTGTAATCAAAATTATGAACTAACAAAATAATACAAGGCTGGTTTTCATAGGGTGGTTTGCTTGTTTTCAAAATTATGCCAATTTGTCATTTTCCCAAATTCACACCTTTCTTTGTTAATCAAAGCTACATCTTCACTATCACAATTTGAAATGAGACAGCTCCTGGACTTGTTGCATACAATTAAACCACAACAAAAGGGAGCTGAAGTCATTTCACTTTTCATAAGGCTGTAATTATTCTTTAACTATTGGAATCCGACATCCCTTAGGAGCTAATTATCGAAAAACTATCATCACACGTAGGAAACACAAAAACAAATCCTTCAAGCACAAAGTAAATGTTGAACATGAAAGAGCTGCATCCAGGAAGTCATACCAATCAGTTGGTCCAGCTAATTACTAATCTGATTTTTGGAGTACTTGCATTAGATAATTACGATGCCTACTCAAAACATGAAGAGCACAGTCTTTGACTTTAATAAAGATCTAGCTGCAAGAAAAATGTCCTAAGAACCATAATAGGAAATTTGCATTGCAACAGACCTGGGAGAAGAGCAGTAGACATTTTTAATAGAAAACATTTAATTTAGTACATGATAGCTATATTTAATGCACCTTTTCGTGTATGTCATGTTGAGAGGCCGAGGGAGCTATTATATTGGGATGGTTTCATGGGAACTCTGCAGTACTGCGTAAAACCCAATTCACATTTGAAAATTTGTATAATAAAAGGCTTTTCTGAGTTAACTGAGATTCGCATTAGAAAAAGAGAGCATATTAAAGTTTATGTTATGGATCAAATTCTAAAGGAATCAGTGAGAATATATTCAAATTCTTAGTTTTAAATGATAAACCTAACTAATTATACATGATAAAACTAACTTGCTGTTGGTGGGAATGCTTATCGGAACATTGTTTTCAGAGGGCAATGTGTCAACAACTATCAGAAATTAAAATTTATATGCTCCTTTAAGCTAGCCATTTTCCTCCTAGGATTTCATCTTACAGATATAGGAGTGTTTATGCTCAAAAATCACATCCTAGGGTGTTCATTATAGCTTTGGAAGAGTTTAAAAGGAAAGGAAATTAAAAAATTAAAGATTGACAAAACTACCATGAGATACCATCTTACACCAGTGAGAATGGCACATATTAAAAAAAACTAGCAACAACAAATGTTGGCGAGGATGTGGAGAAAAAGGAACTCTCCTGCACTGCTGGTGGGAGTGCAAACTGGTCCAACCACTGTGGAGAGCTGTGTGGAGATTTCTGGACCTACTAAACATAGAGCTTCCATAGGATCCAGCAATTCCACTCCTAGGTATCTACCCAAAGGACACAGAAACATCCATTCCAAAGAACACCTGCACCCCTATGTTTACAGCAGCACTGTTTACAATAGCTAAGCTTTGGAAACAACCCAAATGCCCAAAAATAGATGACTGGATCAAGAAGATGTGGTCCATATACACCATGGAATATTACTCAGCATTCAAAAAAGATAAACACATGCCATTTGCAGCAACATGGATGGCGCTGGAAGGGATCATGCTCAGCGAAATAAGCCAGAAAGAAAAAGAAAAATACCGGATGGTCTCACTCATAGCAGGAATCTAGAAAACTTAAATAAGGGACCAGGAAAATGAATAACTATAAGAAAGTGAAAATCAAAATCAACAAAAAACTATGAACCAGAGACACTTTTTGGGGGGTGGGGGGCGGGAGGGGAGGGATTGGGGTCAGAATGGGTTGCAATTGTATAAAAAAAAAATTAAAGATTGAGTTACCAATGGACAGAGGCCTATTTTTTGGTAAATCCACACAACAGGATACTAGGCAGCTACTACAGCCAAAAAGAGGGAAGAGACCTGTATCTGTTATGTGTGCCATTACACAAAGAAGTTCATGATACATCTGAAATGCAAAAAAGAGTAAGCTCTCAGGTAATATGTTCATGTGATATCATTTTTGTAACATAAAAAGGTGTGCGTATACACACAGACGAATAGATATGTGAATATTTTCCATCACTATGTTTGCTTATGCATGTACTGGCGTGACTATAGAGATGCATGGATGGATGGATGGATGGATGGATGGATGGATGGATGGATGGATGGATGGATGGATGGATGGATAAGTGAGTGGATGGGTAGATGAATGGATGGATGGGTTGATGGGTGGATGGATCGATGAGATAAAGAGATGATTGCCAGCCACAGACAAACTTTTTAGCACATACAACAATTAACAGCTTTCCCTTTGGGGAATGGTGCCTCTGGAGTGTGAAATCAGCCACAGACATATGTCAAAGAAACCTTGGTTGTGTGCCAACGCAACTGTAAGGGAAAATACAGCTATGACTTCTGACTTGTGGATCCCTGTTCTGTTGATCTAGTCCATGGCTTCATATGTCACCTACATGCAAACGACTTCCAAGTTGACATCTCCAGCACCAATCCTGCCCCCAACCATGATACTGGCATTTTACCAAGCAATCGACACTTGGATGCTAGGGCAGCAATGATTAGCCCTTCAAGATTCCCTGGGTCAGCGTCCACAGTGCAGTTGATTCTAGAAAGGAGCAACCTGGGCAAAGACTGTCTTTTCCTCTGTACCCCCTTTTGTTAATTGGGTTTTTTTTTTTTGCGTGTATTATCCCCTCTGCCTGAAATTTTTCCATCTTTCTCTTGCTGTTCCCTTACCATGTACACACAGGCACGCGCGCGCGCACACACACACATACACACACACACAAGCAGGCTTGGCTGGGCCAACTCATAATAATCATTGAATATCATTGCATTTCCCTAAAGAAGCCATGTCTTCTCTCTGCCAAGATGTTGCTCATTCTGTTTCCCATTTCTGCAACTGATAATACCAGTCCCTGCCACTTTCCTAATTAGTGTAATTCATCTGGAAGTTTCCTAGATCCCCTACAGTGGCCAGCTCCTAAGGAAACTCCCTTGCATCCCCCAAGCACAGATACATTCCTGGGCCACTTGCCTTTTGGCTCATGCATGTGCCCCACTGAGGGTGGCCAGTCTCCCAGGGTGCCAGGATGGTTATCCCTGAAAGGTCTGCGTCTGGAGAAATTCTTCAGCCCAAGCTAACCCAGACGGCTCTTGACCCACCCCCTTTGACTCTAAGTTCATTGAGGCAGAGACTGACCCCAAGGCCTGGCTCACTGCCCATGGGCGCTGAGTTGAATTAAAAGAGGAAGAGAGAAGCAAGAGGCAGAGGATAAATATCATGCAGTCAGCTCTGGGCGTGCGGCGGGAGTCTCCATTTGGTTCTTGGTCATGTAAATATTTTTGACATTCTCAAAACATCAAGTATGAAGGTTAGAAAGTTTGCCAAATTTGCTCAGGAACGTACAGAAATTCACAGAAACACTGGGAGGTGCTATGGGCCTTTACTCACCACCTTTGCAGGCTGGCTACAGGGGGTAGGAACAGCCTAGAGAATGAGCCGGAAACATTCTCCTCCAAAGAGGCCACAGCCTCGCAGGAGCGACAGAGCACGTGCTTGGGGAATTTTACAATAAAAGAGCCATATATAAAAAGGAGATGATTATTATGGCATTAAAAAAAAAAAAAAAAAAAAAACCAAAACAACAGGTAATAAATGTACAGATTTACCCAGAAATGGCTTCAGGGAGAAGGTGACATTTGGGTCTGGCGTTGCCACAGCGATGAGAGAAGCCTCAGATGGTTTTTCCACAAAGTTAGCAACTCAGACCATCCTGATGCTTGTCGTAACTCCCATCAGTCTGAAGTCTGGGTTCAGCCTGCCTGGATTCTCACCCAGGGTGCCACAGGGCTGAAGTCCAGGTAGCAGCTGAGCTTCAAGGCCACGTAGTTGCTGGCACGTTCTGTTCCCTGCTGCTGCTGAGTGACCAAAGTGCCCGTTCTCGAGTGAGCTCCACAGGGGCCAGGGACCAGTGCCCACCCCCACAGGTCCTCTCAGGTCCTTGCTTCCTGGTCCCTCTGAGACCTGCTCACAGACGGCAACTTGCTCACTCAGTCAGCCCGAGCTTCTCCCTGACTTCTGGAGGGAGCTGGCCCCTCTTTTTAAAGGTATGCCTGACCGGGTGAGGGCCTCACCAGCGAGCCTGGGTCATCTGCTGCGTGCCCTAGTCACATCCAGAGGTTTCTCCCGTGCTTGTGGGGAGATGGTCATGGGAAGGAATCCCACCAGGGGCACAGGGATCTTGGGGCCAAAGTTGAATTTTGCGCCCCATGTGGGTGAAAAAGGGGTTAGAAAGACATTAGTCTTGGGGCTTGAAATGTACCTGTTGGGGGACCTTGACTGTAAGCAAAGGCGCTTGGACAGGGAAGAGTTCTGAATTAAGCAGTAGCCTAATGAGGAACATAACCAAAGGATAGTATGTTCGTCAAAACTCCATAAGGATTTCTGACAGTTATTTTACTGTTATTTTTATTGAAAAGTTTAGAGCAAGGTTGGCAATGAGGCTGCATTGGTTCGGACCCAGTAGCAGCAGCTGCCTGGCGGGTTGTGTTGACAGGGCTGGGGAAATTTCTGGGCTTAGAGGCAGGGTCAGGCTCTATTCCCAGGGTCCAGTGGGGTGAGGGTGGTGATGAGCAGTAGCCTGGTGCTGAGGACTGGCCACCCGGGCCCTTGAGAAAATAGTTTCAGACCCTGTACCGCAAAAGGAAAATAACAAGTCTATTTTCTGGGATTCCATGGTTTCATCTATCAACCTAGAAAGCAAATCAAAAATGGCAAACATTAATAAGAACTTCAAGCCTTTTCCAAATGTCAGGAGCTAAAACAAAATACAAATAAATTAACCCACCGGGAGCTTTATCTATCCACTTCTCTCTCCCAGTAAAAACCCAGCTCCAAAATTTAGGAATTTCTACCAGTCTCTTCAAACACAAGATAGAGGTGGGCTTGGCAAAGAATTCAAATGCAGTTGCCCTGGACTTGGACGAAGCATTCCGAGGTCGCATGGACACATGTATGAGCACTGGGATGAGAGAGCTAATCCATTAATGACAGGTCTGTATGTCTGCGGGACGGAGGGTGGCAGCATGGTGGGGCACCCTCTCTGCCCCTCCACGCGCAGGCTAGCCCCCCACCTCCCAACAGCTTAGAAGCAGCTTTGTGCCTTCCAACTCAAGGGCAAAGACCCCAACAGACCCCAAGATCTTCCCTGGGGTGTTGTTACTACTGGCAGAGGCTGCCTGAGGGAACATGGCTTAGTGTGTTGAAGCCTTGAGAGATTTCTGACATGACACTGAGCTGGGTAGGAGATTAGACAACTCTGACATATTCCCTCTGCCCCCTACTTCCCTTCTGTCCTTGGAAGATGCACACTTCCCTCCTCCTTGGATGTTGGGGCTGGCCATGCTGCACCCCTGCCTCGTGGTAGGTGAGGTGACTTCCTCACCCACTTAAATGGCACTTGGTCATGTGACTTGCAATGCTGGGGGTTAAACTGTGCTGGTGAGAGGGGGTTTGCCCGCTGTACCTCTTCCGTCACCGTGAGAAATAACACGCCAGAGCAGCAGCTGGTCCAGAGGGGATGAGAGGCATGTGGGGCAGGCGTGACCCCAACTGCAGCTTGGAGTCAAGCCTAATGGAGACCGGATGGAAGCAGGAAAGTCGCCCGGCCTGGAGACACGTGAGCAAGCAGGAGAGAAGGAGCTGGGCTTGCTACTGCAAAGCCGAGTTTGGGAGTGGGTGGTTTAAGCTGTGGTGGCAACAACTGATGGGCATAGTGGGTGCGAGCACTGGGGCAGGTTGCTTTTTTGTGCCTCAGTTTCCTCATTTCATAAGAGGAATCAGTGCTGGCGCCTCCTCCCAGGGCTGTGAGGACCAGCAGAGGACACATTCGAGGGGCTTCCCTGATGACGATGCAGAGTAAGCAGTTACATGGCTTGCGGTCACAGTTAAGAGCACAGACGCTGCGTTCAGTTTGGGGGCTTTGCATCCTAGCTCTGGAACCATGGAAGTGTCTGCTGCAGATTGGGGGCGGGGGGAGGGACCAGAGGGGTTGCAAGTGCAATCTCAAAACCAAGGTCTTCTCGACACTAGTAAAGGAATGTAGGGGTGCACATCTGCTCAGTTACATCTTCACTTGGGCCTGCTCCCACATGTCATGAGGGCCCTACTACACGCCAGTCCTACTACACGCCAGCCCCGGTGCCCAGGACACAGACTCAGTGGTCTCTAACCTTCGAAGGGTGAGGCAGCAGGAGGCGCTGGGGCCTGAGAGGAGGCCCAGAGGGTGGACATTTATGGGGTCACTCAGCAGGCCTGGGCTGGGTCACAAGAGACCGGTTGTTCTCCCTGACGCTGTACGATGAGAAGAGTTGAGGGCCCCGGACATTGGCATGACGTTTCTGAACTCAGTGGCACCAACTCAGTGGCCCAGCAGGGCTTTGCCTTGAAGTTCAGAGCTGAGAATTCCGTCAGAAGAGGGGTGCCAAGAGGGCCAAGGGGCAAGCCAGATGATGGTGTGGAGTGAGTCCTTGGAAAACCCTAAGACTGGGTACGCAGAAGCTCAGCAAAGCGGGGAAGGCCTTGGAGGCGCCAGAGGCCTTAGGTTCGAGCCTGGTTCCGGCGCTGATGATAGGCCTGTCCATTGCTGCTGCCGCTAGTATTATTACTCCCGGTACTGCTACTTCTACTCCTGTCACTGCTACTCCTACCTCCGGTACTACTCCCATGTCTACTCCCAGTACTGCTCTTGCTGCTGCTGTTACCACTGTTGCTCCGCCATTGTTACTACGATTACTCCCATGACCGTTGCTCCTGTTATTACTACTGCCGCGGCGCTGCTACAGGCTCACAGCACCCAGCAGAGTCCTTTTGGTGAGAGACACGTGTTTTATAATTCAGAACTGGTCATAGTTTAGAAAAGAAATACGATGCACATTTAAAAATTTTAGAAAAGAAATGTGTGCGGGCCTCCCCTGGTGGCGCAGCGGTGGAGCGTTGGGTCGTGAGGATGCCCACAGCCTCTGCAGCGCCGGTTCGATCCCCGGCCACTGGAGAGGGTCCCACAAGAAAAAAAAAAAGAAAGAAAGAAAAGAAATGTGTGCGCATACAGCTCAGCAGGGCCGGCTCTGCATCCTGTAAGCAAATACATGAATATGTATGCGGGGGAAAAGTATGACTATGGAGATCAAATAAAACTATAAATAGCTTCATGTCAGCTCAGGTCAGGGTCTGTTAGCATATAACATTTCAGAAACAACAAGCAAGCAAAAAACTAAAAAGAAAAACAACCCCCTTAGAGTTTCTGGAGCTTTGGGAGTCAGGAAAACAGGGAAGCAGCCAGGGGTGGCTTCACCCCTGGAGTAGGTGGAGGCTGAGACCCAGGTGGAGGCTGGGTCAGGCCGGGGGCACAGCGCAGAGAAGGGGCTTCTCACCTGGGTGCAAAAGCTCCAGAGGGCGGCCTGGAGCCCAGATGTTAAGCAGAAGCGGCCCGCGGGCAGGACGTGGAGCCGACCTGCAGGGCTAAGCCTTTGCCGTGGGTGAAGACCAAGCTTATTTCCACAGCTCCTGTGACTCAAGCACCCGTTCTCCAACACACTCCTTCTTCACCCGGGGCTTGTCTACACCAATTCTTCAGAGTCCTCGTCTTGAGCTTTTCTTCCCTACTCACTGAAAAAGATCAAGGCCAAATGCAGAAGATGTTCTGATTTGCATGTCCTGAACAGAAAATCTCCCATCTTTTGTCACCAGCCCCCATCACAGACACGTGTACACACACACACACACACACACACACACCCCTAGGCTCACTTTTTACAAAGAGCCCACTCAGCCCCATCTCCTTTCCCCTTGTTTGCCACAAACACACCAACCAAACCCTCTGCTTGTGCAGCCAAGACAACATATCACCTGGAGCAAAAAGACGCCTGAGGGGCCTCCCTGGTGGCCCAGGGGTTAAGACGCAGCACTATGAAGCAACCCGCAGCCTGCAACACGAACTGCAACACGAGTTCGATCCCCGGCCAGGGAGCTACCCACATGGTGCAGCAGACCACTGCTCCCCTCAGCAGTGTATTTCAGTGGATCTGCCTATTTTGTTCCCCACTCTGTCTCTGGTGAATCCTCTCACCACCACCCCACACCTCTGGCCTGTACCCCAGCTCTTGTATGCATAAATAAATAAATCTTTAAAAACAAAAACAAAAAGATGCCTGAGCTCGGGCCATAAGAATGAAGTCTTCTCATGCTGTTACCAGCATCAGCCATTTCGCAGGACACCAAGGCACATGTAGCTGCCGGCAGAACCTTCGACCACATGGAATAAACCAGGAACAGGACATGGCCATGAGGCTTAGCCCTGGGATCACACTGGGTCATAAACACGGAGCGGACAACACTAAACAAAGCTGCAGTCAAATGGATGTAGCACCTGTATATGTGTGTGTGCGTGTGTGTGCGCACACGTGTGTGTGTGTGTGTGTGTTACGCACATGGGGAGGCGTGAACATTTGGAGGCACAGGCTATCCCTCCCCTGCTTTCCCAGGTCCCTTCCTGCAGGCAAATATGGAGACGAGACAGTTCTGATAAAGTCAGCATTCTGGCTTCTAGCGCTCCCAGGAGAATGCTGGGTGACACAGATCAGGGTTCAGTTTATACTCACTGAGCCTCAGTTTCTCCCCCTGAAGAAGGAGGGGGTGAGAGAGAATGTTTCCTAAGCCTCCATCTATAAAGCTCTTACACTTAAAAAGTTAAATTCGAGGAAAATCTGAATGCAGAGAATGCACCTGTGTTCCATGCTTTTTTCCCTTTTGAAATACCCAACTGAAAACTGATTTGTTCAAAAATGTCTGCGCTATTACACCCGCCGTGCCTCCTTTATGAACTGGGGTGAAGAGGAGGGATTTATTTGAAAGTCAATATATTGCAGTAGTCACAGACCTACTGTAGACGCCGGTTTAAATTCGACAATTTGAGTGGAGTAGGAACAAACGCATCGGAATTTGACCAAGGATACATTCAGATGTCAGTTTAATGCTCCAGCTGTTTAATCAAAATATGAATAAAAGCTCTAAAGCCCAACAAGCAAAAATATCATAGTTGTGGGATTCAGCAATTGCTTCCCCATTGTCAGCCAATTACTGTGTAATTTTTCCCTGTGACTGAATAACTAACTGTTAGCAAATAATGAAAAGGCCATTACGGAGACGCTTTGTTCCTATTACTCCCTTCATTTTATTCTGGCTATAATTATTGTCAGAGCTGGAGGTTTACTGTACCATGGAAGCAGACCAGGGAAGAAAATGGGATGGGCTGGTGCATGGAAAATTGCAAATGTCACAGCTACCTTCATCGGCCCTGTTGGACTTCTGAGATGAAAAAATCAGAGGAAGAAGCTCTCCATGTGGGTTTTACAAATTCCCTACCTCAAGCTGTCGCTGCGACTGGGGATGGGGGGCTGGTAGCTGGTGGAGGGTGGTGGGGGGAGCAGGGAAGCAGGTAGGATGTCTGTTCTTTTTTCATGTGGCGAATCCCAATGGACTGTGCATTTTCACCACAGTCTGCCTGAAAGCCACTCCTGGAACCCCTCTTTTAGCCTTTGCTTCTCATTAATGGTCTCCATGCTGTTTCATAATGGGGAGTGGCATATAAATGATGCATTTTATGGGGTTTGATCTTTCTTCAGAGAGGAAATATGCCACATATGGACAGATGTCTGAAAAAGAAAATGATGGTCGTGCCCTCTTTGTGCGGTGGCTGGGACCTATTTTTAGAAACTGATTTTCTCTGATCATATGTAATTTACCTTCCTTCTTAACCTTATATTTTATTAACCAGAAATTGTAAAATAAGACCAAAGGGACAGAACTACAACCCTAGTACTTCTATCTCTTATTTACTTAACAAACATACTCTGAGCACCTCCCAAGTGCAAGGGGCTGGTGTAGGTCTGAGGAATCAAAGATGTGGGCCCACCCAAAGAAGGTTCTGTCTTGAGGTGTTTTCACACTCAGATAAATGTCTCTCTGCATGAAAAGCAACTAAGCATACTTGGAAATGTGTGGATCTATATAGTTGAAGATCAGGAATTTAATGTCAGTTCAACAACTTACTAGTTGGCTTTCTTGATATATCAGTCAGCTCCTGCTGTGTAACAAACATCTCTCAAACCCTGATTTGACATCATCAGATAGATTCACGACTCATGAGTGTGATTCTGCGGCAGGCTCTGTTCTAGGTTGGACTTGCCTGGGGCATTTTAGACAGGGAAGTTCAAGTCCACATGTCTCCTGTCTTCCTCCTTGGAATAGCTGGCCAGGCTCTTTCTCGTTGCCAGCAATGAGTGGAAGGGCAAGAGAGTGGAAACCTGTAGACACAAACATGAAGCAATTTCAAGTCTTAACATTATTCATACCTCCTAGCACCCTTCTGGCTAAAGCAAATTACCTGCTTGAACACAGAATCAAGGTCCAGGGAAACTTCCTACCTCCCAGTGGGAAGAAGTTCAAAGATAGATGACAAGGCAAATGAATATGGTTTGAGGTAAAGAGTTGCAGGAATTAATGTAATAGAAAGAATGCATTTGTATAAAACTCCGTTGTTCAACTTCTTTTTACAAAGGAGGTTCACCTTACCTGCTTAAAAAAATCATCAGAAGTATCAAAAGAAGTGAAATGTCAATATGCTTTGACAACTATAAAGCACTCTACCTATGTGATCCATTATTGCTCTAAATACTTTCTACTAAAAAAATTTTATGATTTTTTTTTTGTCTAGCTCAAAATAGAGATTCTCTGTAAACTTCAAATGTGTTTAAGTTTAACCATCAGGTATTCTTTCATTCATCAGAGGTATTAAAAATGGAAAATGGAAATTACTCACTTATAGAGTCTGTTCTTTCTGTTTTATTTGTTAAATAGGTCACTTCTCCAAGACCCTGATCTGATTTGAGGGTAGACAGAATCTCAAAGTTATTGTTCTTGGTTCCTGTGGCAGCCAGCCATGAGATTCCCTTGGGTTTAAGATAGAAGAAAACATTTATAGGCTAACTCAGACTGTTTTGGCAAGCACTGCCCTTGGGTTATTTCCATGGTAAAAAGAAAGCAGGTTAGGAAGGGGTGGTTGGTCATAAATAAATAAGCAAGGTTATACATTCACAAGGACAGGAGAAAGGCGGATTAGTAACACCAAAGACAGGGGTGTAATTAAAAAAACACTAAGAAGATCAGACAGATTTGAGTTTGATTCCTTGCACTAGACCCTTTAACCTACTATTTAACTTCTTGGAGATTCTGTGTCCTTATTTGTAAATTGGGGATATAACATCTAACTCATTGTGAGATATGTAAGGCTCCTTGCATGGCATTTGGTGCATATATCAAAGACACAAGAAATCAATTTCCTTTTCCTACTCTGAATTTTTGAAGTTTATTTTCCTAGAATATGTCAGATCACAGTTATTCACTTCTCTGCCTGAGACTCTGAAATATCATATTTTCTCTATTTGCCATATCTCAGGCTATGATGGATCACAATAATAGCTAAGCCTCCAAGAATAACTTTGACAAAACAAGCAAACTCACTGAAATGTATTCTGCCTGAGAGCATCTCAATCACTGCAGAAGTTAAAGAACCCAAAGAAAAGGTCCTCCTTCTGGTCCCTGAACCCACACCGAGCATCATTTTAGTGTAGAAAAATCTATTCCTGTATATTCTTCCTCCAGGTCATCTGTCTCTAACACATACACACGCTTGTGTGCACACAACTTGTCTTCAATATAGTCAGTGTCTTTTGGAGGCAAGGAATGCAGTCCTTGGAAGTAAATCGAAAAGAAAAAAAATTCATCAGGCAGATCATATACAATCATGTAAAATTAGGATAAAAATGAAAGAAGAAAAAAGATGTTTACATGAGAATGCCATGTGAATAGCCTAAGAAAGTAGGTAGCCTGTGCTCTTCTAACTTAACAGATGAGCAAATTAGAACAAATGGGCACATAGTATCTCAGAGTGGGAAGGAAACTTAAAGGTCATTTATCCAAATACCAAACAGAAGTAGACACTTCACAGTGGTGAACTCAGTATCTCCAAAGGTAGCTCAATTCCATCTTTGGATAGATCTGACTTTTAGAAAGAAGTTAAAATCTATCTTCCTGCTTAATTAATGAAGGAAATATAGGAACACATTGGGCAGGCTAACCATACTTCTCATCTTCATTCACCCTGTGTGTGTGTGTGTGTGTATGTGTGTAGTCTAAACATTTATGACAATGTTCCATTCATCTAGAACTTGGGGGAAGGTGCCCATATACAAAATATTCAGATGCTTTCTTTCTTAAATTGAAGTCTTATATTTAATTTGTACAATTCTAGGGCATCCCTGGTGGCACAAGGGGTTAAGCACAGCACTGTGAAGCTATGAGCAGCCTCTGCAGTATGAGTTTGATCCCCGGCCAGGGAGCTGCCCACATGGCACAGCAGACCTCTCCTGACTCGCCCACTGCTCCCCTCAGCAGTGTGTTTTGGTCAGTCCTCCTGTTCTGCTCCCCGCTCTGTCTCCGGTGAATCCTCTCACCCCCGCACCTCTGGCCTGTACCCCAGCTCTTGAATAAAAATAAATAAAACTTTAAAAAAAATTGTACAATTCGCATTGGAATATTTCAAAGCATGACACGTATTTGTCTGTTTGCACAAAGAGTGCGGATCATCCTTCACCCAGCTACAGATGTGAGGGACCACACTGGTCTTAAAATAGTGATGTTCTAGGACAGTTGAAGTGGGCGCTGTACTACATGATGCTGGGCTGCTCTGCCTTCATGGTTTTTGGTTTCTGTTACCTTTGCTTTCTCTTTCAAAACAAAGCTGGAGAGATCAACCGGCTGCTGTAATTGTTTCAGCTTCAGACAAGCCACTTCTGCCCCCTTCTGAATGACTTGCCTTGACTTTGCTTGGAAAGCATCACCCCGAAGACTTAGTAATGTTTGTAGAGCACACATAAATAGGATCACTCTCTGCAAAGCTCTGCTATGAGTAAGAAGGGCTTTGTTTTCTCCATTTTGGTGATTTCGGTTCTTGTTTATTTCCTCCCCAGTTTGGCTACACAATGGATAGAAGAGTTTACATGATGCTTCATTGTGCTGGTATGCAACCCCCACATCCATCTTAGCCCTAATTCACCTTGTTTATATCTTGGATGAGCCATAACTTCACCCCAGGGTCCCCTGTCAACTAGATAGATATTCATTGAATTGGGTTAACAGAAGGAACCAGGAGGAAATTGGAGACAATAGGAGAGAGAAGTTGAAGTTAAAATCATCATTCCAGGGCCTCCCGGTGGTGCAGGGGTTAAAGTCTCAGCACTATCAAGCTATCACCAGCCACTGCAGCACGAGTTTGATCCCCTGCAAGGAGCTACCCACATGGCACAGCAGACCTCTCCTGTCTCGCCTGCTATTCCCCTCAGCAGAATATTTCAGTAGATCTGCCTGTTCTGCTCCCCACTCTGTCTCCAGTAAATCCTCTTACCTCCTGCACCTCTGGCCTGCAACCCAGTTCTTGTATGCATAAATAAATAAATAAATAAATAAATAAATAAATAGAAATAAATAATATCACCACTTTCCCTTTTCTGGGCTGTGTACCCCAGCAGGACGTTAGTTCTTGGCAGGAGATCTCCTCCAAGGTGGTGGGTTGCACCAGCTTTGGTAAAACCAACCTTTCTCATGTCTTTTCAAGCTTCAAGGTGGTAACAACTGCCCATTGTGGCTGTATCTAGGTGTTTCATCATCCTTTGTTCCCCCCTTCAATGCTACCCACACCTCTGAAGTCCTCCCTGCATGACAGACTCAAGCCATTGAACCATCTGAGTGGGTTGTTCCCTGCTGGGTTCAACTCAATCACTCAGTCATTCAACAAGTGCTTATTGAGCATCTACTACGTGCTTACCACGGGATTCACTGGTGAACAAGGCAAACTTTCTGTCTGCGGGAAGACAGACCCTGAACGGGGAGCTCTGAATGTGATGAGCTTTCCAAAAGGGGTTTAGAGGGAGCTTGGAGGGCTTATCACTGTGGGTAACCAGTCCCCAGATAGGAAAATGCAACTGTCTCCATATGCAGCTAAATTAAAACCTCCCTTTTCCAATTTTCTCCTACTTGGCTTCACCAGACACAAGAGTTTCCATCCTCCAGGTCAAAAGTTGACACAGGAAAATGAGCATCCCAGTCTAAGCTACCTAGGTCAGAGGTGCCCTGTTGGGGAGGGGGAGCCCCAAGGTGTGTTCTAGAAAAACCCTGAACTTGTCCCACCCCAAATCAGGTGTCATTAGATTCCTTCAAACACTTGCTATAATTTCTCCCCCGCTCCCAAGAGAACACTGGGTGTAACGTAAAATAATAATGCCAGATCTAAAGGTAAAAGGGAAGACTTCATTACCGGATTAATACATCGTGAAAAAAATTCCCATTTCTGATAGATACTTAACCGTGCGTTGGTGATTAAATTAATTGCACGTGGCGAATAGAAAGATAGCTCTTTAATGCATGTTAAATAGTAACAATTTGAGATAATAGGAGCCTACATGTCTCCTCTTTACAGCTCCCTTTGTCAATGAAATGTACTTTTGTGCGGGAGAAAGAGAGAGTTTGGAATGTGATCGTCTTGCTCGACGAAGGCTAGTGCGCCACCAGCAATCAGCTTAATCATAAATGACCGGAACCAAATGGATTCAGGCAGCCATGCTGACTACTGAGTTAAAAAGTTTTATATATCAAGAGTCTGAATGCCAGCTAAATCAAAACCTTTCAAGGCAAATCAAAGGACCAGCAGCCCTCTCCCTGCTTCTGCCAAAAACTTTGCTTTGCCATTTCCTCCCGCGCTGTCAGGAGGCGGTGGCTGCTGTGGTCAAGTTCAGCCTCATCAGGAGGCATCCACACGCGCTGCATTACGCCCCGAAAGCCAGCCCAGCACCTTTCCATTAAAAGCATTGTGGGGGGGTGGTTTCGGGGTGGGGGGAGCCACAAGAAGCAAAACAAACTGATTGATTGCAAACCCAGCTATGATGTCAGCATGAATTAATGTTTCCCACGAGCATGCTAATCAGCTCCATGACATAATAACGGCTTCTATTGCACCGGTGGGGCTTCAAAGTCATTCCAAAGATAACATAACACAACACTTGAAGCCCCAGGAAACTTCCACCACGCTTTCAGATGTTTTATAAAGTTACCAATCTTTTCATTGCTGGGGAAACAAAAAAGCTGAAAGGAAACAGCATATTGAATTGGGGATGAATCAGCGTTGGAAAGTGATTTCATTACAAATTCCAAATGTTCAAAGAGATAGTGGTAATTAAAAAGCTGC